AAGGACACAAAAACATTAATTCAAAAGGACACCTGCACCCCTATGTTTACCGCAGCACTTTTTTTTTTTTTTAGATTTATTTATTTATTTATACAAGCACTGGGTATAGTCAGAAGCGCGGAAGGGTGAGAGAATTCACCAGAGCCAGAGCGGGGAGCAGAGCAGGCAGAAGGACCGAAGTACACTGCTGAGGGGAGCAGCGGGTGGCAGGAGAGGTCTGCGCACCATGTGGGACCCTCCACCGGTGGGAGGCCGGGGAGCAGCCGGGAATCGAACCAACACTGCAGAGGCTGCGGGCAGCTTCTCAACCAGCCCTCAACCGCTGCACCACCCGGGAGGCCCTAAGGCAGCACTTTTTACAATAGGTAAGCTATGGAAACAAAGCAAATGGCCAAAAATAGATGACTAGATCAAGAAGATGTATATATACACAATGGAGTATTACTCAGCAATCAGAGAAGATACACTGATGCCATTCACAGCAATATAGATGGAGCTGGAAAGAAGCGAGAAAGAAAAGAAAAATATCAGACAGTTTCACTTATAGGAGGAATAGAGGAAACAAATAAGGGATCAGGGAGAAAAAAGTAATCATAATAAATTAAACATCAAAATCAACAGGAAACTATAAATCAGAGACATTCTGTAGGGGAGGAAGAGTGAGAAGGATCACAACAGGGGTGGGGAGAGCATAAGGGAATGTGGACAAGGGTGAATTGGTGGTGGGAATCTCACGGGACTACACCTGAGAGGAGAAAGCATACATTGTACAAAAATGAAGAATATAAAATATATATAAAATAAAATTTAAAAAAAATTTTATAATGTGCTATATTGCCATTATTCATATACAATAAGAGGGTCATTCAGCTCGGGATTGATAAGTGTTCCTGTCAGGGGATATCTTTCCCTATGATATTGTTTTATAACATTTGAATGCTAATTTACATTCAGTGTGATAATCCACATTCCCCTAAAACCCCAAATGTAAAATGAAGTCTTACATTACAAACATATTCTGAATAATGCTTACTTTCCTGGAATTGTCCTATTTTAAGATTTTGCTTGTAGATGGTAAGATTTAATAGATTTCTAAGAATTTTTAAATAAAGTACATTATATCTCCTGAAATCTGTCCCCAATAATTCTAACCTGACAAGGAACCCTAGTTAATATTAAAATATTATGTTTCATTTAGCTCAGATTTTCTTAAAATTAGTAACTATATTTGACACCTAAAATTTCTAAGATCATAAATTCTATGTATAATCTTGTTAGAATTTTTCTTTCAATGTCTAAAGAAAATAAGGGATCTTAACTACTTAGCTATTTTTAAGCACTTTCTTTCTGCTTCTCATTTTCAGCAAATTATTTCACTGCTAACCAACAGAAAACCTCCTGATTGTCCTTACATTTTCCAGGACAAGACACTGGAATGAAGAAAATGAAAATATCCACGGGAGCGTGGTGGAGTGGAGGGAGTGAAAACAGGTGGAAAAAGAGCACAAGGGAATATGGTGATGAACTCTGGGTGCTGTGGTGGTAGAACTATGGTGACTGCACCTGAGGGGAGAAATCATATGTTGTCCTAAAATTAACAACAATGTAAGAAGAAAACTACTGCATTTAAAAAAATTTTAAGGGCCTCTCTGGTGGTACAAGGGGTTAAGCACCACACTATGAAGCAATCTGCAGCCTCTGCAGCTGGCCAGAAAGAAAACCACATGGGGAAGCAGGCCTCTCCTGTCTCGCCCGCTGTTCCCCTTAGCAGTGTATTTCAGTCCGTCTGCCTGTTCTATTCCCCACTCTGTCTCTGATGAATCCTCTCACCCCCTCCATCTCTTGCCTGTACCCCAGCTCTTTTTTTTTTAATATAATTAATGAATAAATCCACATTCCTTTACCTTTATTTATTTATTTTTAAAGATTTATTTATTTATACAAGCACTGGGTACAGTCAGAAGTGAGGGAGGGTGAGAGAATTCACCAGAGCCAGAGAGGGGAGCAGAACAGGCAGACTGACAAAGTACACTGCTGAGGGGAGCAGCGGGCATGGCAGGAGAGGTCTGCGTGCCATGTGGCTGGGGATCGAACCAGCACTGCAGAGGCTGCAGGCAGCTTCGCAGCCCAGCGCTTAACAGCTGCGCCACCGGGGAGGCCCTGTACCCCAGCTCTTGTGTGCATGAATGAATGAATAAATCTTTAAAAAAAAATTTTTTTTTTAAAAGAATGAAAATATATTCAAACTAAACATGTCCGTCTAGGTTCTACTTAACTGGTATTTTCAGCATCTTCTCAATGTCACAATTTAAAGGGTGTGGTTTGAAATGTAGATAACCAAATCATCCCAGTGTTGCCATTTCAATTTGATTTACAGAAGACAATCCAACAAATTCACGTCTCTTCTTAAAGTTAAAAATAAACCTACTCTATGACCCAGCAATTCTACTCTTAGGTGTTTATCCAGGAGAAATAAAAACAAAATGTCCACAAAAAGATTTATTACATAGAAGCCTCACTCAGAACAGACAAAAAAAGGGAAATAATCCAAATGTCTGTCAATAGACATGGAAAAACAAATTGTGGTATACTGATACAATGGAATATATTCAGCAACAGGAAAGATTAAACAGCTGATAAAACAACAAAATTAATGTCTCAAAAACACGTTCATCAAAACAAAACAGACATTTAAGAATACACTTAAGACCTGTGTATTTCACTGTGTGAACATTTTTACTTTATATAAACAAAATCTAAATAATAAAATAAAACCTAAACCAGAAAAATGCTCAATTGGGTCCATAAATGCACAAAGCCCCACTGTTCTTGGACCTCTGCAGTGGCTCTTTCTTAGATCTGAAATTTTGGGAGTTTATATTTTTGAAATCTATGATTTTAATTGTTCTTCTATTATTTCACAGTAGAATATAAATAATAATATATAAAAACCATTATTTCAACTGCATTTTTCTAAGCTCAATTATTCTCACAGTTTCTCAATGAAGCCTATGGTCTCGGTGTCGTGAAAAATTAGCCTTACCCAAAGTGATATGTGACCTTTGCATCTGGCTACTGGGAGGAGGTTATCTGGTTATCTGGGCCCTGGAACCTGCCAGGAATGTCTTCTTTTGCCTGGGGGCTTTGGCCATGAACAAATGTGATTGATGATGGGGGTTCTGAACCAATCCTAAGAGGAAATAGAGGCTGAAAATATTCATAAGACATACAGGAGGACTACAGACTAGACAGAAGAGGCTTGGGTGAGTTTCCCTGGGTGGCAATATCCTCCGTGAGTTGTCACATACTGTGGCTAGCAGGCAGTAATGCCATCCATGACTTCATGGGGAAAGAATGACAGGAAGTTCTACATTCGTACTTCTCCAGATTCTGCTCTGTGTCTCTTCTTTTGTTTAATTTATACCTGTATCATTCCCCCATAATAGAACATGACAACAGTAGATTTCAATGAGTTCTTTTTTGTGAATAATCAAACCTGAGGCTGGTAGAAGAGGCTCCTAAACTTGCCACTGGTATCTGAAGTGAGGGCGGTCTTGTAAGGACGATTTTCTCAGATTTTGCAGTTTTGCTAAAGTTTACAAACCCAAAAAGGTTAAGGATAGGCTAAACTATAGGTTCCTGTAGAGTTGAATCTTTATCAATGACAAATAGTAAAAAACATAAGATATTTGAAATAAATTGATACTCTCAGGAAATCAACAGTCTAACAATAGTAATGTTAATGAGAATGAGGATGATGATAAAAATAGCAACCATTTACCGCATGCCCTTAATATACCTCCATTGACAGGTGAGGAAATAAGCATTAGCGTGAAATGACTTGCTCAAGATCATACCACTAAGTGAGAAAGAGAACATATAAAACCCTGACTTAACTAATTTTAAAGCTATACACTTTACTGTATTTAGTCTCATAATCAAGCAAAGGAAGTTTAATGCTAAATTTTGCAAAGAACAAACATAAATATGCAGCATTGCCATCAGTAAAATAGTATCATTAAAGACTAGCAACTGCTAGCACAGTTCAGAAATGTGGAATACTTAAATTCCCCTTGTTTAACGAAGACTTAATCGTAGCATTCCAATGCTTAATTATAGCTTGTCATTGAAATTCTTTGAAACAGAATATGAGTTACATAGGTCAAAAACAAATTAAGAAACCTAATTTGTTCTGTATTACTATCAAATGTTAAACACAAGTTCCAAGTACTTGAGGTGGATAGATAGCACTTCTGCTAAGAAAATCAACATAACTGTTACCCCAATCTTTAAGTAATGGGCACCACACGCTTTCTTATTGATATATTTTCCTCTACAAATTATCCATTCTCTTCCTCTATATTTTTTGCTCACACCCTGGAACTGTCCTACTGACCGCAAATAAAGACTGAAGGTACAAGAATCTGTCCGTCTATGTAAGACCAGCTGGAATGTCTCAAGGTGAAAACTATACTCTAAACCTGTTGGTCACAAACAGTTCTTGCAAAACACACACACACACACACACACACACACACACACTATAATAATATATAGCTATAGTAATAGGGTAACCAGGAGACACTCTGAATAAAGAACTTGATAATCATAACAAAAACACAACAGGTGTTTCAAGCAACTGACTGTAATTAATAAATTACATTAATTGGTTTTATATAGGTCCAGAACAAAATTACATACTGAATACTATTCATTGAGGTTACTTTAATATTCACTATCATGCTTCTACTAGATAAGAGAACCAACAGTCAACTGTGCTATGACAATTTTGATAAACCAATTATGATGGTAAGAATATTTTAAGAGAGGATCAGTCTGAATCTACATTAAAAATTAATCATTACAGGAGTACTGGATGATGTGAAATACAGGCAATGTGAAGAAGTGAACATAAGTGTGGGAAAGGAAGGACACACTAATGAATTAAGACACACACATGGATTTAGCCCACAAATAACCCACAGAGACAGAGAAAGTACCTGGAAAGCTGTGAGTGCGCCAGTCCCTGGGTTATACAGGCATCGCAGCGAAGGCATACTGTCCGCCAGGCTGGAGCAGCCCAGCCACAGAGACCTGGGCATAGAGCACTGCAGAGAAAGGACAACTATGAGATGGAACAGTATGAGACAGGATGGCACAGATTACAGGAATTATCAAGACTTGGCTGAACGCACTATTCCAGTTGCAGCTGGCCTTTATGATAGAAACATCTAAAAGAAACATGCTACTTCCTAGTTCTGTTCCCAGAGAGAAACTCAAGAGGGGCGCTAGTGGCCAAAAAGCAAAGGCGGAGAAAGAGGTTATAGGTCCAAAAGTCAAATATTTAATATAAAAATTTTTGTACCTGTTCGTCTATGTATGAGTCTAAAGGAAATCTACTATTTAACCCAATTAAATCAATTCTTTTTCCTCCATGTGCCCTATCACCCATAAAATTACCAGTGTTTAATACTGTACAGACTAAACAGAAAAAGGAATAGCCCATGGTAGCATTTCAATATCAGGAATGGTAAGTTTGAAAACATAGTACCACAGGAAAGTTAAGGGTTTTTTTTTTCTAAGTGGAAGAAAGGAAAAGAGAAAGTGCTATACCCCTATGCTTTGACAGCTTCCATCTCTGCATGGTTTGCATGTGTTTTATGTATCTTGTTAGCCTGCTATTCATTAACCAAAATGCACAGTTACCATAGCAGCTGCCTCTTCATCTTTCCAGATGGATTGTATGTGTGTAAGGGGTGGAGGGGGGGACCGCCAAACAAAAGGGGAAACAACAACAAACAAAGAGACAAAATGAAAGAACCCCAAAGGCTGCTGGTATTAAAATTTTCTAAACAAAAAAGTATGTGTATTAATTAGTAATACTAGTTATTAGCGATTATAATTAGTAATTAATTAGTAATAGTAATTAAAAATATTAGTGTTATTGCTCCTAGAGCTTTATGAAACACTTTACTTTTAGAATTTTAAGTCTTCAAGTTTCTCTAAAAGTATCCCAGACTGAAGTTTTGTCCATTAGTTTGACTGCTATTACAGTCTAACAATAAAAACTAAATATCTGATCACAGCACACATAAAAAAATATGTATTTTAAACTGTAACAGTCAATGCACACTACAAACTTTATTTTTATTTTTGCATATAAGAGCTGGGGTGTAGGCCAGAGGTGCAGCGGGCGGGGCTGGGGGGAGGGTGATGAAAAAAGATTCACCAGAAACAGAGTGGGGAGCAGAACAGGTAGATCAACTGAAATACACTGCTGAGGGGAGCAGCAGGCGAGACAGGAGAGGTCTGCTGCACCATGTGAGTTAGCTCCCTGGCCAGGGAGCAAACTCATGCTGCAGTGGCTGCTAATAAATAGCTTCATAGTGCTAAGACTTAACCCCCTGCACCACCAGGGAGGCCCCCACACTACAAACTTTAAATTACAAGTTTTGAAATATATAATATCATCATCATAGCACTTTTTTTTCTTCTTGAGAAACTCTAGTTGTAGAGTGTTATTAGGAAACAAAATATGGTGTTCATTGTTTACACATTCTGCAACCGATATAAGGGTAGTGTGCTGCAAAATCCTCCAAAAAAATACTCTGGTCTCCATTCCTGCTTTCACATGATTATTTCCTCATTTTTAGTTAAGGTGATTAATGTTTAAGAATTATTAAGTGTTTATCCATGATTATAAATTTAGAAAGCAGAAAAGTAGGAGTTACAATAGAAGCCTATTGCTTGTTAGTACAGAACTTTCTCTTGCTTCTATCTGACCTGGAAGTGATAAAGTCAAAAGATCAGAGTTCAAAGAAGGGTAATTGCTAAACTTATCAATGGACAACATACCAACCAAACAGCTAAACAGTTTGAACTACTACAAAAATCTCCTAACTTTGTTCACTATTTCCAGTATTTCTTCACCTGAGTTACATATTTTTACATACAGCAGTTATATAAATGTCTTCACTTTGTTATCAGATCTTTCTTGTTAATAATTCACAAAGGCTCCCTATATCTGTTGTATGAAATCCAAGCACTCTACCAAACTGACCTTTGCCTACTACCTATATTAACTTACCTTCTCTGTCCTTGCAGTTGGGTCTTGCACTCAAGCTAATTAACTACCCTAATATTTTGCTCAAATATCCATCTTACACCTATACCTTTGAACTTGTAGTGTCCTCCTTTTTACCCCGCCACTATACTTCTACCATCTACCCCCATCTCTCCTTTAGAATGACTTACACAAATTTCAGTCTCATCCAGTGGTTCTCAGTAGCAAACATTATCATAATGTAAGAAGACATCAAGAAAAGAAGGCAGGATTTTTTAAAAGACTTTTCTTTGACAATCACTGTTCACTCATATTACTGCTCTACAATGGAAGCATTAAATTCCTCACTAAAATAATTTTGGTATAAGTAAATGATATTTAAAAGATATATGTCTAATGTTTAGTCCTTTATTCAACATATATTGAGCATCTTCCTTGTAACTAGGCACATTTCTAGGTAATAGGGATAGAACATGAACAAAAGAGACAAAAATCTTTTACATTCTAGTGACATTCTCTCAACCTTAAATTCTTCCATATTTGAAACTCTTAGTATTCAAAAAAACACACAACAGCTTGCTATTAGAGAGTTTACCTCACCTCATTATTAATGAGAGACATTGTATACATTATTAAGCAGCTGATTACAGTTTTGTGTATGTCTGTGTATGCTGGGTAGAAGAAAATCTCATTCTGAAGGAGGGACTGAATTTGAAAAAAAAAAAGTGGAAGAGGGAGAAGAAATGAGAGTAAGCAAGTAGGGGTAAAGGTAGCATGAAATATAGAAGAGAAAAATGGTGGAAGAAAACAGAGTGGCCACTGAAAGATAACATGTCACTTATCCCATCCTGAAGCCACCTGTATGATCTCTATTAAAATATTCATCTCTATTTGCATTCATGAATGTACCTTAAGAAATATTAAGGCATTTATCTTATAATGTTTGTCTCCATTTTATATTTACAAATTATATGTGTTTCTTCTGCACCAGGTACTTTATTATTTGACTTTCCTTACTTTTACTCATTCTAATGTTCTTCCTCATTCATTCAATAGAGATTGTCCATCAAAATTCCTAACAATTAAGAATGTGAAAGGGCTCACTCCATCCCCTTAAATTAAAATTGAAAAATATTATAATCAATAATGAGCCACATACACCCAGGAAAGTCACTAGATACACTAGTGTGATTTCTAAAATAGCATTAACTTGCAAATACCACACAGAGGATGCATTCCCGATTATTACCAGACAATTGGTGTGGGTATGAAAACTGTACTGACTACAGTCTGATCTGCACATTACGATAAGATTTTATATATTATGGCTCAATTTAAAAACCAATTTTCAAATTGGTGTGTATTATAACAATTAATCTTAACAATACTGGTAAATGCCACTTAAAAACATTAAGGAAAAAACACAATTACAAAATTAATGGGATATGCTATAACTTCTCTTTTACCTCCTTCCCTTCTATCTTTATACTTAGGAGCATTTTCTAAAGGAAGGGGGAATCTGAACAATAAGCAGCAGCATGAAAAACAGTGTCATTTGGTTACTATTCTTACATAGTTTTTCTTATATAACTTTTATATATTTCAGGATATAATGATTGGTCAATTTCTGACAAAGATATAAGACATTTTCTGTACTGTAACACTTAATAAACAATCCCTTTAAAGTTTTTTCTTTAGAATACTGAAAAGCACATGCAGTTTTCTACTTAAAGTTTGAGTTTCAAAAGTTTGTGCCTCCTTACACATTGTATTTTGATTCCTAAGGTTTTCTTTCTACATCAAAAAAAATTTTTTTAATTAAAAGCAGGTTCTAAACTAAGTTACAATTCAGCATCTATACTCTTATAAACAATTAACCTTGATTAACTGTTAAAGAACTTTTAAATAACGTATTTCTTAAATGTTGCTCCCATATAATCTCAAAAGTTACAACAGAGTTTGGATTACACATTTGCCTCCATGCTACACAAATCCAGATCTACAGATCAAACATTTATTTCTTTAGCTCATTTCCTAGCTAACCTCACCCCATTTGTCTCTCCTTTGCCGAATCAGAGAGAACAGAAGACTATAAATTATTACATCTGAAGTTTGTTATTCAACTGAGTTTACCAGCTTTTAAAAAAGCATACACAGCATTTTAAAAAAATGTCTGAATATATATCCTACTACTTGAAAGAATTCAGAAAAAGGGACTGAAATGTTGCAGCAAAAGGCCTCTGGTGCTTCAATGAGAACAGATAGTGCCCATTAAGTTCAATGGCACATATTCACTTACAGGAAGAACACTGAAAACCTTGACTCCTCCCCTCACTTGGCTGCCAGGAGAAAATTCAGTTCCTCTTCACTGATAGCCGGTCCTGCAGGCAAAGGACTGGCCTCAGCATTTACTACATGAAAGCTGACAAAATCTCCTAAACTTAGGTCCCTGTTGGTCAACTTCTAGGAGTAACAGAAGCTATAATAATCAACAATAAAAAGATTGCTGCATTGAGAGTTTATGTATCCTTAAGCCATGAAACAAAATTCCCCTTTCACTACTATATCAACTAAAATATTCAGGCCAACAGAACTACAGTATTCTACAAGCCACACATTCAGATTCTACCTATGCAAATCCAATGACTGCCTCTAAGAATCCCAACTTAGTACACTCACTTGAAAAAATAAAAGTTCCACCTGTCACACAGGTCAGTCACATCTGCCTAGCTTTTTTACACAAGATGGTGATAAAATTAAAATGAGTCTGAAAACTTCAAAGTGAAAAAAAGTAAAGTGGCATCATTACCAATAACAGGCTTCTATGCCATTCTACCAGAAGCAATTTACAGAATCAATGCAATTCCAATAAAAAGCTCAATGACTACTTTCAAAGAAATAGAACAACTATTGATGAAATTCACATGGAACCACAAAAAAATAAAAAAACCTTGAATAGCCAAAGTGCTCTTGACTAGAAAAAGGAAGAATGGAGGTATTACACTCCTAGACTTCAAACTATACTACAAAGCCATAATAATTAAA